ACGATTACCCTCTATGCAGGACCCCCCAGCAGGCCTCGAAAGTGGCGACAGTTTCACAGATCGCAGCCCCCCAGGGATGGCGAGGTCTAATTTGAATCCGCCGCGATTACCCTCTATGCAGGACCCCCCAGCAGGCCTCGAAAGTGGCGACAGTTTCACAGATCGCAGCCCCCCGCAGGCAAGACAGAAAGAGGCAGGAAAGAGGCGGGAGGCGGGAGGAGGAAGGACGCGACCACACTGCTCTATTCAAAACGAATACCCAACCAAGGAGGGTTGGGAAAAACACAAATAAAATGATTCCCATATTGTCCCTTATTTTCTGGATTCTTGTGTTTCCCCCCCCACTTCCCATGTTTTCCAAACTTCTCTTGGGAATCGACGATTACAGTAATTGTGTCTGTGTGTTTTTCCCCCCTCCTGATACTCCAGGGCCGAGCGCCCCAAAGAGGCAACAGGGAGGGTGGTCCTTCTGAGGCAGCCGAGGGCGAGGCGTCGCTCCCGCCAGCTGCGGGCTCCCCTCCTCCTCCCGCCGGAGGGGGAGCGGCCACGGTGGAGCCGGCAGGGGGTGGGACCCTCCTCCTCGTGTGCCTCCCGCCTCCCCAGGCCGTCCCCCTCCTCGGTCTCATCTCGACCACAAATTTAAGGGCCTGGAGGTCCTTCCTGGTTCCGAGGATGAGGATGAGGCCTGAGGCGCGGTCGGTCCTGGGTCCGCTCCCGTTTTAGTTTTGTGTTTTTCCTGACGGAGGCACTCATCTTCCCTCTTCCTCCTCTTCTCCCCCCCTGGGAGGTGCCCGTCAGCCACCTATTCGCGCCCTAAGCGCGAGGCCGCTGGCTGCTAGTCTCGACTGCACCCCTTGGCCCCACCAGCACAAAACCCCTCCTCGGTCTCATGTCGGGTATGGCCAGGACCCCAGGTAAGGGGACCCGGTTAGTGGTAGGGCCCAAGAGCCTGGGAATTGGCCAGAGTCACCAAGCCAGGTTTGCCATAGCTTGCGTTTTTTCGGGTGACGGCAGTTCCGGTCAGTGGAAATGGGACGGGGGGGCGCCCCCGGTACAGATCACTAAACCAGATTCCACTAAACCCAGTTGTTCTGCCAACGCCCGGTCATGGAAGTTGCAGGCGGCGCTGGTGACGAAGCTGGGGGTCTGGTTGGTGTTGCCGTTGTAGTTGCAGTAGCAGCCGAAGTTCGGCAGCTCGCAGTGCTGCTCGTGGTGGTGGCAGTTGTGCGCGGAGGCACTCGAGAATATGGCAGGGACATCGGTGCTGATCGTGGCCTGAACTCGGCTCCAAGACCTGGGCGTCGGGATTGAGGATGGCAACGGCCGTGTCGATCCAGCATCTTGGCAGCGCTGCCAAGGCTGGACTGGTGCCAGTCATCTCGATGGTGCTGCTGCACTTGTCGTTGTCGTCACGGCTCTTGCAGCCGAGGCTATACTTGAAGACGGCGGCCTTTCAGCCCAGTCCTTGGTACTGACTGGGCGGCCGCACCGTGCGCCGCAGTCGTGGCGGGCGCAGGCCTTGTGCAAAACCTTCCTTGTGCAAAGAAGCCTAGGGGCGAGCTTGGGGAGCCCGCCACCCAGTTGTTTCTCGATGGTCGGCGTGGTGTCGCGGGCGCCACGGCCGTGGGCGCGGGCGCTGGCGCCCGTTGCCATGGCGCGACCTGGCCGGGTGCCACGCCTAGCCGGCCGCACTCCTGCGGGACCCCCCCGCCCTTCCCGAGGGGCTGAACGGAGAGGTCCCCCCCAGCGAGTGGTAGCGGCTCCTCCTCCTCCTCCTCCTTCCTCCTCCTCCTCCTCCTCCTCCTCCTCCTCCTCCTCCTCCTCCTCCTCCTCCTCTTTCTTTTTCATGTTGCTCGGACATGAAGATAGATCTTGTTGCGTCTCCTCCTCCTCCGCCCCTCCTCCTCCTCTCCTCCTCCTCCTCCTCCTCCTCCCTCCTCCTCCTCCTCCCTCCCTCCTCCTCCTCCTCCTCCTCCTCCTCCTCCTCCCTCCTCCTCCTCCCCTCCTCCTCCTTCCCCTCCCTCCTCCTCCTCCTCCTCCTCCTCCTCCTCCTCCTCCTCCTCCTCCTCCTTCCTCCTCCTCCTCCTCCTCCTCCTCCTCCTCCCCTCCCCCTCCCCCTCCCCCCCCCTCCCCACTCCCCCTCACCTTCCCCCCCCCCCCTCCCCTCCTCCTCGCGCTGACGGCGGCCCGCGTGCCGCGCGCGAGCACGCGCCGTGCGGTGAGGCGCCGAGGGCGCGCGCCCTTCTCTGGCGGGCGCTGCACGGGAGGTCCCCGCGGGGGGGGGCGGTCCGGGAGCTGCCCCGGCGAAGGAGCCAACGACGAGGTGCACTGAGCGCGAAGGAATGGGGGGCGATGCAGCCCCCTCGAGCTATGACACAAATCACGGCGGGAGGTGTTTCTGCCATTGTCGGCTTCCGAGGGCCATTACCGGGCCCCGGGGCCGTCAAGAAACGATTCGGAATCAAAAACTGGTCCCGGGGAAGGGGTCCAGACCTTTGGGGGTCGACGCTGTGAAAAGTCACGACGTCGGGGGGTCTGGGCAATGGGGGGGCGATACAGTGGACGCGCGTCAAGAAACCAAACGCTTTTCGCAGGGGCACCCTGGGCGTCTTCGATCCGCGCACTGCGCGGCGGCATTCCCGCGGCCGTTGAGCAGCTGTTGCGTTCAGGGTGTTCCAGGCTTCCCATCAGGTGTACTTGGCGCGCGGGTTGTCAAGGGCGCCCTCGAGGGCGCGAAGTTCTTCGCGCTTCGCGGTTCGGCTCCGATCCCTCATCCTCCTCTTCTCCCTTGGGAGGCGGCGCGAGAGCGCGAAGTTATTCGCACTTCGCGCTCCGCGCAGCGCGAAGCGCGAAGTTGGGAGCCCTTGGTTGTCATGGGTGGGTCTCTTGCGATGGTTTCTTGCGACCGCGCCCGCATTGCAAATGGGGGGAAGACAGGTGCCCTTCTCGTACCCTGAAGGCCCCTTCAGAGCCCAGAAGGCTTTCTTTCCGGTGGTCCTCGCTGCCCCCCAAAACTTATCTCCCCTCATGAACTCGCGCCCAATTGCACTCGTGTGGGGTGTGCCGAAATCGTCACCCCGCGCCAACGATAAGAAAACATCTTCCCTTCCTTTGGGCCTGAGGTTTGACTATCCCAGGCCAAGACGGAGGTGGTCGGGAGAGAGGGGCGGCGAGGCCGAATTTCATCATCGTCTGGGGAAGTGCAAATCGAGGGTGCTACCTTCTTCCGTCGAGTAGACACACTGTCGTGAACGTATGTATTATCACCCCGAACTTTTGAATCCCATGGGATTCTTATCAGGGGCGTACGGTCAGCCCGTTTAGGAAGGATGAGTGAGTGACTTTCCAAGGCTACCCTTGCATCCTTCCCGTTCGGCCCATCCTTGGCCGCTTCGATGACCGCGCCCCGCTCGCAAAGTGTCGAGATGGCCTTCCAAGGCCCTTGCATCCCTATCGCGCGTCCTTATTATACGGGTTGACCGTAAGATGATGCGGAGAGCAGAAGAAGGGAGGGGGAGGAGAGGGGAGGAGAGGAGAGGAGGAGGAGGAGGAGGAGGAGGAGGAGAAGGAGGAGGAGGAGGAGGAGAAGGAGGAGGAGAAGGAGGAGTCGCGGGGACTGTCTCTTCAAAACGAGGGCCCAACTCCACTGGACGGTCCGGGGAACAAGCGGTCCTGTGTAGTTTCCACGTGTTGTCGCGGAGAGACAACATCCAGACCCCCTCGATGTGCGAGAAAGCACACATGACGGACGGTGCTGCTCCATGTTCGGCTTGCGGGCGACCCTACCAGACCTCGGGACCGTCAAACAGCTGCTCCAGGAGGAAAGCCCGGTCCCGGGGAAGGGGTCGAGACCTCCGGGGGTCGCCCGTATGAGGAAATCACGACGTCTGATGTCCGGGAGTGATGCTTACGGTCGGGAGCTGTGGCTTAGCGTGTCACACCGCCGGCTCTGGCCCACCGCGCCTCGGCGCGACACGCTGGCCACTTCCCGGACCCCAGGCTTCAACGACCCGAGACTTGCTGCGCCTCCTGCCCCGCGGAGTGGAGCGACACGGCATCCGCTCTCACGGGATAGCGTGTCGTTGGGGCCGCCAGGGCGCCACGCCATCCCATAGTTCCCGACCGTGGCAGCTTTGTTGCCTCACCCGGCTGCCAACGCACCTCTGCCGTGCACGCCTTGCCTCTCTCACAGGCCACTGGCCTGCTTGGACCACTTGTTGCGCCGAGAAACAAAGGGTGAGACGATCATGCCGATGCCGATGCCGCTGCGCGCATCCTTGGGTGCCACGGGCGGAGTCGCCTCAGAAGCTTGGCGAGACCGCGCCCTGGGAGGGGTCCAGGGAGTGGCGGTAGCGACCTCGGTATCCTTTCTTCGTTCGCCCAGGTGAGCAGAAGCTCTGTTCTTGCGGAGCCTCCCGCTGACGCCCAGATCTCCGACAACATGTTTTGCGGCAGTCCCAGCACGTCTCCCCGATGTCGGCCTCTCGGGGGGCCCGTGGGCGGGCCCGGGGGCCATCAGAAACGGATCCGGGGCGAGGAGCTGACCGCGGGAAATCGGCGGCGAGCTCAGGGGGAAGTCAGAAGGGAGCCTCGGCGACCTCGGCAGGCGGTGGATATGGGTATATCATATTTCGGCCCCCCTGGGGGCCAGAACATATTTGGAATCTGGAGCATATGCATTAACAGTGGCGGGATGTGGCTCAATCCCAGGAATTTTTGAGGGTCGGGGACGACATCGGGGTGGTGTGGTGCATATTTGTTTCCCCGCTTTCCCGGGGAAAGAGCGAAAAATGTATACACCAGGATCCCGTATGCACCAGGATCCGCTTTCCTGTGTGAGTTTCAGTGCGGGGCTGGAAAAAGCGTCGGCGTATAGAGCTTGGCTCCATACCTTGGGGGCCAGAAG